GTTGACTCGCCAACCCTATGGTGAGAAACATTTGCCACACGAAGAACACCGGACTCCTTGAAAGCCCACCGCGAGAGGTGATCACAGAACTCGGCATTACTAGAGCGTTCAAATCTGAAGTTTCAGGTTCGGATAACACGCCTACGAACGTACCGTTTGTTGGTAACTTTACTATATACAGGGGAAGAGTAGAAGATATCGGAAAACATCTCAATTGAGCCGGTGAAGACAACACGAGCATTATTCCTAGCCTGCAGGGCTATAACAAGTTGAGTGTTCTTTCCAACTGTAGTGGGGTACTCTGAAACAATTTTCCTGGTGTCGTAAGAGTACGACGTGGCAGATCCATGCAAGACACTGATGAGTAGCGGGTTAGTAGGATCTGTAGAGATTCTAAGGAAAAATTAGGCTGAGTATACGCCTCACCCCACACCACGGTAAAGAATAGGATTTTTAAATCCCCCAGTTATAATTGGCACTTTTATGGCGTCTTCTGGATTTACGATGATTAGAGTATGCTAAGGAAAATGCCAAAAGTATAGCAAGTTCTTACGTCTCCATTATCCATCTCATCAAAGTTGTAATGATCAATAACAGACGAGTTATTTGCGTCGAATTCAACGCCACATTCACCGGCGAAATCCCTAACAGCATCTCCGAGTTCTGGACCTCCAGCGACAAGAACGTTCCCACCATTGTCAACAAAATCGGCCAAAGCCTTTACGCTTACGTAGCCACCGAATTCTGGAATGGTGGAAAATACGTTGACGGAAGAGACATACCTGTTGTGGTAGGAGCAAAAATTATAACATGCTGGTAGTTATATTCACCAAATTGCTTTAGATCCAGTGTTGAGTCATCAGCATACTTAAAAGTAAGTTGGTAGTTGCGTTCTGCATAGATACGAGTAAAGCGAAACATCACTTATCACCTGTGAGCGACTTAAAGAACTGGGAATGGGTATCACGGATGATAATATTTTCGATAAGAACCAAGACATTTTTGTCAATACCCTGACTCTCACTCTTAGCCAAAATTAGCAAAGCGAACAGAAGGAAAGCTCTCATCGACCTTGTGTGACTGATTAAGGAAAGCGGCAACATAAACGTGTAATTTGCAGCGTGCATAAACGAAAGTACAGAGAAATAAGATAACGAGTACTTAGTTTTGGACCACAACATTGTTTCGTTTCTTTCCTATAACAATGTTATTTTATTTCATCGGAAATTTGAGCACTGAATGTTAATTCTAATGTCGTATCACTGACTCAATTTGATTAGCAACAGCTCTTTAGCCACAAGAAGCACTTCAATGGAATTCTAGTAATTCTTTTTCGTGTCAATAAGTTTTTTTGTTTTTTCAATAAGTCATACTTTAATATGTTCATTGAGTGCCTCCAAGTAGGCTCATTATCGAAAATTGCATTCAATGCCTACCATGTATTTAACCGACTCTTGCGGTCGGAAGACGAGGCGTCAATATTAATGCCGTGCTAAAATAACTGTGGGAAAATGTCCTCCTCAAATAAGTGAGCTTCGCTTTTCATAAACTTTTTAGTCCTGGGAAGAGGAAGTCAAATTATACAGGGACCGGCGGCTACGTTCTTGGTAGTAAAAACCACCGGTTTTCTTATTTTGGTCTACTTTGTTCCTTGACATTTTGATCTTCTTCGTATGGCTGACTTCTAAGCCGTGCAGGTTGCTATCACACCTATTTGGACCTTGGAAGTTGTTTATCCCTTTCTTGATTGCTGGTTTTGGACCTGGGTACAGTGGTTTCATTGCTGTGTCGAAGTCGGAATAATATATCAGTATTCATAACTGAAGGCTATAAAACCTAAGCTTTAGCTGTGTATTCTAAGACAAAGCTGTTAAAAACGTAAGGAAATCTTATCTTTTACCGTGAAATCACCCTTACGTCTGGTCGAGATGGGCTTGGCGACCAGCACAATGTTCTTATTTCAGGACTGGAATTTAGATGCTCTTTTATTGCGGAAAGGAATGGTGCCGGTAGTATCCATGTGTCTGCACTGACGCAAAGGCGGTGCCTGATGAAGGAGTAGGCGCGTTTGTGTTCCCTTACAGCTTCGGTTGAGCCGCGGTAACCTGCGAGAGTATTCGATCAAGTCGGCACTACTCACTTTGCTGAAAGATGGGCGAGACTATGCACACTGTCTGCTTTTTGCTTTACTTAATCGGCCTAGACCGGATTTGTTTAAAAACATACAAAAATGCAGGCTTCGTAAGGCATTCGTACTTATCCCTACCCCCATTTCTTCTCTGCTCACATGTCACAGTCACTGCGAACCATTCAATGATGCTATTTGATCAAACATATTGAAGCTGACGTTCCTTCAGTTGTTAGGAAGTTCACCCTGAACCACACAGACACCACTTCTGTCCTTTTTGTGAAGTTTCTTTACCTGCCCACCTGCTTACCTTACATGCTCTTCCGAGGTTTACAAGTTCACTTTGGAAATTAAAAGTTGGAGCGAATGTCATTTATAGCTTCTACAAGCGTGTCGAAAGCACAAACCCAGATTCAGGGTTTGTGATGAGACAAAGGACTTTTAACAACTAGACGATATAAGGGGACTGTAGCCTTCTTCTACTGAGTGAAGTGTCAGACTTCGGACACCAAATGTAGTGCAAATACACTATTGGAGTGCTAAGTTAAAGTTAGAAATGTGCTTCAATGCCGGACCAGTTTCTCAATGCTTGCCTTAAGCAAAATTTGGATTCACCTTTGGTAAAGCTTTAAACCGGCATAGCTAAAACATGTGCACATTTGGAACACGAAGTTACCAATTCATAAACGTGAGAAAGTTGTCGTTTTAGAACAATTAGTATGCTTCCCATGACTAAATTTTAATAAACAATACTTCTGACATTCCATTGTATGGCTTAAAGGAAAAAAGGGAAACAACAATCCAATTGCTCGAATAGAGAAGGCCAATGCTGTTATTTGATTCCTGAAATCTGCTGCTTCTGAAAGAAATGAAATGATCTTAGTTGAACGATAGCTTACTAAAAAAAACTATAAAATGTCCGCAATGGCATCCTCATGCATTCAATTTCACGCCGAAAAGATAATTGTACAAAGAGTTGTGGA